ACTGCCAACGACCCTCAGGGATAGGAAGAGGCTGGAGCAAACCATAAGGTAGGTGGTTCGCACTGTTCACCTCCTGACAGGTGGGACACTCTGCGACGTAGTCCTTCACAAAGTCCTTGCGCTCTTGCCAGACGTACAGGCGGCTCACACGAGCCAACGTCTTGTGGAAGCCCATATGACCGGCAGCTGCCTGGTCATGGAACGCTGCTACTGCTCGGACACGTAGCTGTCCAGTGAAGGGAACACAAATATGGGGCTCTCTGGTGCCCTGTGAACCATGCCAGTATACAAGACCCTTGTCCCCGAGAGAGTAGTTCGGGACGGTCTTGCCACTCCGAAGGGTGGCGTGGATGTCGCGATAGTCGGGGCAGTGGCGGTACTGAGTTCGAAACTCGTCGATCACCGAGTGGTGGACGGTGCTGACAGAGATGGAAGAGAGTTGGATGTGCTCCTGGTCTTGGTCAGGGCGCCGGGATAGGGCATCGGCGACCCGATTAGTCTCACCCTTGATGTGCTCAGTGGTGAAACTAAACTCGGATAGGTCGCGCCACTAGCGAGCCTGTTGAGGAGTGAGCTTCGACTTTGTTAGAAAAGCCTGGACAACAGAGTTGTCCGTGCGCACCGTGAATGGTGCCCCGTGCAGGTAGTGACGTCAGTGCCGAGCGACATAAACTACTGCGAGAACCTAACGTTCATCAGCAGTGTAGTTTATCTCGGCGGGCAGGAGCTGACGGGAGTAGAAGGCTATCAGACAATCACCTGAGCGAGASTCGACAGTGCCGTCCTCGGCGATGGTAGGAGAATAGTCAATAGAAGGCTCGTCAGTAGCTGGACGAGCAGGCGTCAGTCGAGAAGCAGTCGTAGGGGTAGGTGGTGGGAAGCGAGGGATACGAGGATGAGAGGAATCAGGAGAGATGAGGGGAAGACCTGAGAAAGCACTGCTCCTACAACGAAGTCTGACTCATCGGTGGTAAGGATAAAAGGGCGGTCAAAATCGGGWAGGTGAAGAACCGGTGCGCATGTCACCGCCTTCTTGAGGGCGCAGAAGGCGTCCTCGTGGAGGGGTGTCCAAGCCCAGGGTGGGTTCTTCCGGAGGAGGGTGGAGGTAAGGACGTAGGAATACCTAGCGTATCCACGGATGGAGTTAGTGTAGTAGCTGGTTAGGCCTAGGAAGCTGCGAAGCTGCTTGGCGGATGTGGGAGCAGGCCACTCCGCAATACCAGTGATATTCTCGTCGTCCATGTAGAGACCCTAATCAGACACATAGTGTTCTAAGAAATCCACTTTGTGTTGGGCAAAGCGGCACTTGCTTAGCTTGGCATAGAAGCCATGTCTGCGCAAGCGGTCAAGGACGTCGCGGAGGTGTCTGAGGTGCTGCTCAAGGGTACGACTATAGACCGGGATATTGTCGAGGTAGACGAGAACGTACTGCTCCAGAATGTCCCTGAAGATGTCGTTCATCGCCCTCTGGAAGGTAGCGGGTGCGTTGGTGAGGCCGAATGGCATCACCGTGAACTCGTAGTAGCCGAATCGCGATCGGAACGCGGTCTTCGGCTGGTCGGCTGCACCGACGCGGATCTGATGGTAACCGCTACGAAGATCAATCTTTGTAAAGAAGCGGTTGCCTGCTAGGCGGTCGAACAACTCATCGGAACGAGGCATGGGGTAGCTGTTCTTAACTGTGTAGCGGTTGAGGTCGCGGTAGTCGATGAAGAGACGAAGAGTTCCATCCGCTTTGCGAGCAAAGAGGACGGGTGCACCCCACGAGGAGTTGTTGGGCTTAATGAAACCTAGTCTCAGGAGTTCCTCAAGCTGACGCTTGAGTTCGGTGGCCTCGGGGATCGAGAGTCTGTAGGGTGCCTGGTGGTGAACACGATAGTCAGGCACGAGCTGAATGGAGTGCTCGACGTCACGCATCGGTGGGATGCCGGCGTACGAGAACGACGATGGGAAAACGTCGTGGTACTCTCGGATGAGGTCACGAGCTGGGGGTTCCAAGTCAGCCGTATATCGTGCGAGTTCCTCAGCGTCAGCGTCAGCGCGCGACGGCGGGGTGGACTCGACGGACGGCGGAGGGACGGAAGTAGA